ACTCATGGCAGATGTTCCTGTACACTATGACAGCTACCTGGTTGTGGCGTTCCATGTATGCACTTCCGACCTGCATTTTACACCCACTAATTTACAGTGAGGCTGCCCCAGTTGATGTTTGGAAATGCTGCATAACCTAAAATATAAAGAAAGGTTTAATTAAGATGAACTTTTAGCAGCATCCTTTCAGTCTAATCATCACATCTGCACCAATAAACTGCATCTGATCAAATCAAGACACTGTAGAAATGTTACTAAAGTCCTAGGTATGGTTCTTCCTTGGTGGCAGCTCCCTCTGACCATCACATCCTCCACCACATCTGCAGAAATCCCTAAAAAACAAACAGTTTAATTTTGCCAACTGCAAAGTCAAATGGTAACAAGAGGTAAAATGTGATGTTTTGAAGGGTGGATTTTGGCCGCTGGAGGGTGCTGCTAGTTTATTAGGGTAGACAGATGAGTCGAGGGGGCGTGTTTTTCTGGACACGGCGCTGCGTTCAAGAGTGCTGGAATAACCGTACATGCCCGCGATCACTGCAATGCGGTCTTTCGGTTATTAAATGCACAGTTGTGATTAAAAATTGCATTATTGTGATTGTTTAATGTGCTCTTCTAATTTTTGGCAGCTATTAAACACCATAAGTCATATCAAGCTTGGTTGGCTTGTGGAACTCCAGAGGCAGCAGGCAGTTACAGCCTGGGCAGGTAAAGAAGTGAAGCAATTCTATGTCTACGTCCAAGACCTAGATGATGGCACAACAGATTTGCCTTCTTACTTGTACATGAAACTTCTTTAATGACGATTTAGGGAATACAAATTTATACAGTGGACAACTTTATACCTCTAAAAAATAAAGTTCTTTCTGTTCATTTCTTTTACAGACATAATATAAATCATAAACTCAATGCATTCATGTACCTTTAGCAAGCACAAAGTGTTCCATTACATATTCCATGACCCACCTCCTCTAATACTTTGGACTTTGCCTCCAACACTCTGAAATGTATATATGTGATTGAGTCATACTGTTACATCATTAAAGCCACATGTGTGTTGCAGTCATGGAAGCAATGGATTATTTTCTTCAGCAATTAAGCCTGGTATCAGTTTTAGGAGCTGTGGTGTTTCTGTTGATTGGGTATCACTTTCTTCTCTTTATGTTTAGCTCACAAAAACACAGACAAGGACCACCAGGACCAAAGCCCTTTCCCATAGTTGGCAACCTGCTGCAGCTGGATGTTAAGAGATTGGATCATGCACTGTTGAAGGTGAGGAATGTGAAAATTGATCTCAAGTTGTTCTCAGCTATATTCAGTTGATGTTTGCCATTTGCCATGTTTTTTTTGTCTGGATTATTTTATCTTTTTCATCCATATTGCATAGTACAAGAACAATGAAGCCACCTTGGCCCTAAAATCACTCAGTGTTAATGCATATGCTATGAGAGTAAAGCCCTTATATTCTAAAGATTTGCATGTACAAGAATATGTGCAAACATGATTATAGATAAACTGACCTACTAATCCACAATCAGTTGTACATTCTTGTCAATAGATCAGATTGTCACCTTTCCTACTCATCTAAATAAGACAAAGTCCAAACCTAAAAAGATAAAAACATTTCAATCAGCCTGAAATGAAGATCAATAATTAAGTACAAACTGCCCCTGACTTATAAACATTTTGCAGTTTAATGAACTAACTATGCTTTATCCATGACTCCTCAGGTTGCATACATTTAGTTTTACTTAGTTGAAATCATATTTAGAATCTTTTATCTTCAGCACCCTTACTTTTTATTTTGAAAAAGTCATTTTTTCTTTACATTGCTTTCATTATTTTTTTCCTCCTGATTCTATGAGAATATTTCACTTATTTCACAAGTCTTATCCTGTTCCAGTGTAAGCATAATTTCTTTTATATATTTGTAGACCAGTTGTGACAGTCATCATGGATAGTGCATGAATCAAAAGCACTTCTCTAAATACTGTGTTTGGGAAGTGTCATGCAGACTCACATACTGCTAAGTTAAATTCCCACACTAGGCATTGACTCATAGTCTGTTTCTTTAAGCTGTTCTATGTTACTGAAATGGAATAAATAAAAACATTACTATTAAGTTACCCATTGATTTTAGTAGACATTTTGCAACCAGCAAAAAGGCATTAAATGTAATGATCCATACTTTGAAGCCTGGCTGCAGCCACTGCCTCTTAGGGAAGGTGAGTGGTAGAAAAATGAGGGGTCTAAAACACTACATTGCTATTTCAGAGAGAATTCTGATTTGAAAGCGAATTTTATAAACAGATTTATACATATTTTAGACTGCATGTTTCTACTGGATAAATAATAAAAAAAAGTACAGGTTGGTTCTTAATTCTTTAAAGCATCCAGCTGCTATTTCTTCCATCCAGTAATGCCACTGACTCTTTTATTAGTGTGCAGTCATGAACCTTATTGGCTTGCTACTGACCCCTGCTTTTGGGTTGCTGCCTTTTAAAACAGTAGAACAGCAGGCAAAAAAATCCATT